GAATTAATTTTACTGCCTTTTGTTGGTTCCTTTGGTCGTTGCATTTTGTAGTAAAGTCGCTTCACGTTTTGTTACACATACGAATTTATTGTTGAAATGTCGCAAGGTGTTATATAGTATTGTTACGATTAAAATCATGGCTGTGAATAACAGATAATGATTTTTTTGTTCACTACTCCGCGTGTACTCTGTCGGCATGTTAATTAATTAAAATAGGAAAGACTACTTTTAAAATATTTAGGGATAATAAAATCTACAATAAACAAATTGGGGTGTAGCAACAAAGTCGTATAATGGTTCTAGAAAATTATTTTAGCCTTCAAGGAGGATCACTGAATTACTAGTCTGGTTGCAGCCTCTATCTTTTAATAAAAATGTACCTAACCAGTTTTATTTAATGTGTTTTACACCACGGTGCTAAAACTGTACACGTATAACTTTTATAGCTTAATTTTCTTCTTCCTGCAAAACAGATTTATGAGATTATTTATTTAATGTTATTAAATTAGCGGCTAATTTTCTGGTAAATTAAAAATAATTAAGAAGTACTAAGAAAACGGTGAATTTGTTGTCAACATTTTTAGTTTTATGCTTCAATATATTTTAAGAAAAGGTCAGTTGGAATACCTATTTTAATTTTCATTATTTAAAAATTATGAGAAATTCTATAATAATTTTAATAAAAAGTAAGAGCAGATATTAAACAAAAATATTGTTCAAGTTATGATAATTGCTGTAGTTTGGGAATTTTGCATTTTTTTTTTGGAAGTGTCAAAATTACGACGTCAATTTTTTTATTAGTACATTGTCAATCTTAATTTTTTATATATTAAAAAAAGTGCAAAATTTAAAATTTAATTAGAATTGTGTTAGATTCTGAACAGTAATAATAAATATATAATAATTAAGCACACATAAAAATGTAAAATATGCAACAGTAGCTGTATATACATTTATTTCTAATCTGGTTGCCATTTTTAAATTTTTAGTTAGTTAATGTCTCGAGGGATCAGAAATATTGAATAATTTATTTCTCTACAGTAAAAATAAATTTTACCTTGTTGAATTCACACTGTCACACTCTTGATCTTTCTTTTTGCATTACTGTACACATATTACATTTTTATAAACGTCGGTAAATTTGTGTTATAAATTATTTTTTTTATTTATGCCAGTTTTAGGATTCTTATTTTGCTCCCTCGGTGTTGTAAACAAACAAACCAAAACTGACTTAAATTTCGACGCGTTTTGTCAACTATATTGTCATTTTCTGGAACAGAAAACAGTATAAAAATTTTATGACGACAGTTTTAGTTTTTATAAATGTCTTTGTAATAAGAATTCTAAAAAAATATAATATTAATACATATAGAACATATGTCTTAGTATTTTATGAAATGACTTAGTTCTTTCGTTTTTCTTTTGCCGATGATCCTAATTAAACTAAGTAAGAAAAGCGATAATGCCAAAAAAATATAGTTGTAATTTTATACTTTCTACCACATGGTAGTTAAAGATACAAAGGCAATGAATATCTTACACTCTTTACAATTAGTTTACACATGAAGATTTTAACATACAACTACAGGCAAAACAAAATAAATTTGTATTATGAGCTGTTGCTGCCGTTCTTAGGGCAAAAATTAACTGCATACATGATTTCTGACTTTATGTGGAAATCCCTAGGATTTTTTTACGACTATAATAATAACGTTATCACAGAATTTTAATTTCTATGAGTGAAGAACATTTCATAAATCTTCAAATACTTAATTGTTGTTCCAAGTTTTATAAAATATTCATTGCTATAATCCCTACAACACATTTATTATAATATAATCTCTAAAATATTACAATATTCACTGTTTTAAAACCGAGACCATAGATGGCAGTTACTACAGTTAAGAAGAACCAAACAAAGGGGAGAAAGACAGCCAAAGACTTTCTTGTTTTTTTTTTAAGAAAATAAGCTAAGATAAAGTAAGTGTAGGGTGTAAGCTTATTTTGACAAAAAATAATTTTACGAATTTTAGAGCATTCGGCTTCCAATTTCAAAGTTAAATAGTAATATGTTGTTATAAAATTTTTATTATTTTTCCAAAAATATGGATATCTAGGTTAAAAAATCAAAAAGGGAATCATAAATCACAGGTTTAGGAGTATGTTTATTATCCCCGACTAAAATAGAGGGGTGTTTAGTTTTGACTGATTTGTCTCTCTCTGTGTGTGTCTGCGGCACCGTAGCTCCCAAACGGATGAACTGATTTCAATGCGGATTTTTTTGTTTGAACGCTGGTTCGATCGGGATGGTTCTTAGCTACGTTTGACGGTAATCATTTCAATCATTTCAAGATCATCAGCTGATGTATGTGTATCTCCCTGTAGCACCGTAGCCCCCAAACGGATGAATCGATTTCAATGCGGTTTCTCTTGTTTGAAAGCCGGTTGAATCGGGAAGATTCGTACAGGGATCTTCTTGGAGGGCGAAAGAAGAAAAAGCAATAACTGAACTGTATATGTAGACTTCAAGTAGGCTTCCTATAGATGACGTTTCTATAATGTCAAGTCATTCTGTTAGTACTTCTTCATTTAGAAGTTAAATGAATACTAGTGTCTCTACTGATTTTTATTTAAAAAGGGCGAAAATTTCAATTCGTAGTGTGATTCAGTTCTTCATTTGGAAGGGAAGAGCGAAAGATATCCATGAAAGAATTTTTCATATATTGGGTGATTCATATTCTTGTTATGAAGCCATTCGCCTTTGAGTTAAGGAGTTCAAACGTGAGAGAATATTCGTTGAAAACACATAATCACCAGAAATGATTGACTAAGTTCATAACAGGTTTTTGGCCGATAGATATCAATGAAGGTGCGTGAGTTAGCTAGAGGTATCTCAACTGAGAAGAGTTCATTTTATTAATCCTCAACACAGTGGTAGCTCTCTTAACCAATTTCAGACTTTTTAAAATAACATTTACTATGCAATGTTTTGAAGTGACGTCATCACATTGTTGGCGGGGATGATTAAACAAATTTTGGTTAGGGTTTTACCATCTACACTAAAGTTTGACAACAATCGGTTTAATAGTTTCGGAGATTATCTGTTTAATAATACTCGACACAGACAGACGACAGACAACAGACAGACGGATAGAAAAGGGAGACTTATTTTTTCTCTAGGGATTATGAAACGTGGAGAAACCGTAAAAGTAGCCATTCGACGGTTGTACCCTATTACAATAGTTCCTTAGCTTAAGTTTGGGAAGTAAAAATGTATTTTTATAATGATAATAATAATAATAACAGTAACATTTTTGCGCAAATAAATATACATATGAAGTAAACCCTGCAAAAGTTGATGTAGTCAATTAAAAAACCCCAAATATTAAAAAATATATAAAGACTAGGAGAAAAGTGTTATTTGCAGAAATAAATATACTGGTCGATAAAGCGTGTATTTATATATTTATTTTTTAATTACTTTAATTAATTTAAGGGGGTAATTTCAAGTTGGATTTGTGAAATCGCAAGTGCCGTTGCTATGGTAATTTCGATGACAGTTGTTGCGATTAGCGATATGATTCGTCCTCGCGACTGCTGTCATCGCATCTTCCATGGCAACGAGGACTTGCGAAATTGTAAATCTAACTTGAAATTGGCTGGTTAGTTTCAAAATGAAGCTTAATAAAATGATTCTAATATACAGGGTGTTAATAAATGATTTCCATCTAGTGGTCGATGAAATTAATTTATTAATGTGCTGCTTTAATCGACTTTTTCCTAAATTAATTGATTTGTCAACTCGTTCTCAAACTTTGAATCAAATTTTAACGTTTATTTCTTTAAATAACAAAGGATCCGAAAAAATATGGACTATAGAAGAGAATATATTTATTATCGAAGCCTATTTTCGATCTGGCCAATGGAGAATGGTAAAAAATTGTGTTTTTCGAAAACGGCAAATTGTTTGGTCAAGTTGTGTTGGCGGCCCTCTAGATGTAGTATCAGAAATAGGAGAATTAGATTAAGAAGGCCATGGAATTTTAAAATCAGTTGGTACTTTCTGCGCATTGCTTAACCTAAAATTCGAATAGGTCAAATAATAAAATAACAGCAACGCGCGACTTTAACTTCAATTTCAAATTGAACTTGACAATCAGTAGTACCAACTTACAAAAAAATGCACAGTTTAGTAGATATCGAATATTAATGAAAGAAGTGTAAAAAAAACTCTACAACAAATTTTGAAATGATACTTTCTCGAAATTGGTAAAATAAAAACATAGTAATGAATATTTAAATTTAGGAAGAGAAGTACTCCGCCTTATTAGTTGCAGAAAATAAGTGTCAAATCTGTTGGTTCTTGATTGTTTGTTAAAACTTTTAAACCGTCGTTATATCGTTTTTTTACATTTTAAGCATTGTATCTCTTCAATCGAGGGAAAACGATAATTCACATAAAAATCACAAAAAAGAAGCACATTTTTCTTAATATACATTTATACACGGTGCCACATCCAAGTTTGGACATGAAGAATTAACATCGAGAATTAGCCTTTATTTTTTAAAAATGCTCGCTTTCACTCATTGATTTCTGATGAGAATCGAGGAATAAATTCTAAATTCACTTTGACATTTCGATTTTCCATGGCTAATCCAAAGACACGATCTTCAAACTAAGACGGACAAATCGACACGACAAACATATTACTAATTAAGTTAAAATAAACGTTTCTTTATGACAAAAATTAAAAGCCATTAAACATTCTTTTAAACGCTGTGTTAATAATGCCCAAAGCGTCATGCTCATGACTTATGATAAATAAATGTACAAATAATTATTTCTTCTAAGAATTATTTATCTTTTTATTCAGAAATTTTGCTGATTTATAAGAAGTCTTAATGTTGGTTGCTTTTAAGTTTAGACAGAAATGCGTTAATTGAAAATTAAAAATTTTTGTTTTACCCGGGTCCTAACATAGTACCTACTCCTCAGCATCTTGTATCAGCTTCTCTTGTGCCGTGGTGTAAAAGCAAAGAGTTTTCTTGTTACGTCCGGTCACTTTGTTTTTGTAATAACGAAGAACAGGGGCTATTGGTTACATCCCAGGAAAAATGTGCTCCGTCTGGTACAGCCTTCATAAAACTTGAAAATCAGAGATTTTGATATCCATTTAGAGATGACAGCATTTTTACAATAAACCGTATATAAAACTACTGCCGTACCTTAATCATCAGTACACGAGCAACTACGAGAGATAAAAGACTTAGTAATTTCATAATGGTAAGTACTGCTCTGAATTAATCTCCACCACACAATTAAGATTCTCGTCTTCAGGTAGCGCTTCTCGCTTTGTTTTCCCTCTTTGCTTTGGCGCATTCTGCTGTGGTCCCGATAGATTCTTCATCAGTAAATGTAAAACAGTCGGGCCAGGAGTACTCTTACACAATCCACGAAAATCATGGTGTTGCCATAGAGCCGCTGCCTCACCACCAAATTCCAGTGATTAAGATCGCGCCGGATAGCATAAAACATGAGCATTTACCCATCAAGGAACAAGAAATAAAACCACTGCAGCCTATAAAACCAGGGCAAATTGCGGGGGTGGCTTATTCGACACCTGTGGCGGTTGTTCCAGCGTATACCTACTTACCTGCCCATCAGTACGCCATTCCGTACGCGTATGGGGTTAATTATCCTTATAATTTAATTGCAACATTTTAAACTGAAGATATGTTTAGATAATTCAATTTTCTGTCTGACTTCGGTGAGGTTTAAGGGGGTTTAGGATGTAGCGCCAAATAGTTGTGGTAAATTGGTGAAAAATAAAAATGTATGAAGTTCATTGTCTTTCATTTACTTAGCTCAGTAGCTACGCAGCTAAGCAGCTCTTACAAAATAAATTAACAAATTAATAAACCATTAATTCAATAAGTATACCTATATTTTGTAAAAATACTAGAGCAAGTAAAATAATTTTATTAATTACATATCTTTCGATTGGAAAGGAAGTTAGCTTCCATGAAACACACTTGTTACTTACGTGCAATAAATACGGGGTGTTATTGAAAGGTACGTACAACAAAATTGACAGTTATTCGCGAAGTCTAAGAAGTCTGAAAAACTTATTTTGTGTTATCAAAATTATAAGGGGAAAATTAACCCTTATCCAACCTTTTTAGACGTTACTGAAGAATAAATAGGTAAAATTAATTTATTTTAGTAAATCCTAGCAACTGTAACAATAAAACTTTTGTCAAGACTAAATGTTGCTGTAGAAACGAAAGATCAGAGGCGTACAACGAATTTGGACATAAATTTTAATAGTTTTTATCTCTAAATGGAGAACACTTTTACCTGAACTTTTTTTTACTTTTAGCACCCATACTTCGACACCAATTTTATTTTGTACGTACCTTTCAATAACAAGCTGTATATAGATATATAGCTAAGTACGTGTTTGTTTATGTTTTGAATTTTTATAAATTATTATATTTGATTTCATAGTTTCTTGAGGTTTCTCGGCTTATAGAATCGAATATAAGGTCATTTCGAAATATGTACAAAAAAAATGGGGAATGGTTTACAGTAACTTTTATTGCACTGTGTAGAGTTCACGTTACCAAGGGAAGCCATGTCTAGAAAAAATTATTTGAAATTAAATAGGAGCATAAAATGTTATACTATACCGGTAGTTTTTCTTGACCTGCCATAACTACTCATAAGCAATATGCAAAAACACGATAAGGGCCAGTCATGTATCAGTTGGTTGTCGTCGTACGTGCGGTTAACGTCTTTGGTAATGGTGAATTTTTACAATTCAGATCGTGTCGACATCGTAATGCTTTATGGTCTGGCTGATGGAAACGCCAGGTTGGCCCTCGAATTGTGGATCGAGAGCTTTCCAGTTTGCGCAATTCCGTGTGTGCGAACATTTACATCAGTGGTTCAGCATCTTCGAGATCATGGTACCTCCAAGTGTCAAACTCACGATCGTGGCCATGATACAACGAAAAGAAATGTTATCTCAATGTTCATCCAGTACTTATTACCCGTGCTTTAAAAATCCACTATGGTTGTTAATTGTACCCAGACGAGTTTTTAAAAAATTAAATCATATCTTTGCCTTGAAAATATGGTCTAAAGATATTTAAACAAAATTTCCTTTGCCCTGAAAGCACAAAAGACAGAATATTAGAAGCTGGAACCAAAGACACAATGAAGTCCTGGGAGATGAAAGAAATAAAATCGAAATTTGAACGATGCAAGAAATAAAGAGAAAAGGTACAGGCACAAGAGAGCTTAACTCTTACATATTAATACAGAGTGGAGTAGGAAAAGAAGGAATAGTAGTAAAAATAGTGATAACCCCATAAACTGCGACGAAACTCCGGTGGGACGGACGGTGACGGTCCGGAATTTCGCCGATAATGCATGGGGGTGGCATGTCTCGGTGCCAAGCTTTGGGCCGCTGAAAGAGAAATAGATACGTCTAGCCGACTTAGGCTTATGCGGACACTTTGGTCGGGAGCACCGGGGTTGCTCTAAAGTTGGAGACACGGATCTCCAGGTGGTCTGGTGAGCGCCCGCGAAAACAAGAAAATAAAATAAAGCGGAAGAACATTTTAAACAATACATTGGGTTTATTCTCTGTCACCAGCTACACGGTTAAAATAAATCTTACGGCTAATATTAAATAATTACAAACAAACTTTACAAAAAGAAATAGAATAAAACGTTCGGCACGGTCGTTCCCTCCTGGACGGCGACTTCCTTCAGGACGGGCTCCTGGGGGTGGCGACCCTGGAACGGGAAATCCTGTGAGGACGATCGCAGATTCTCCCCCAACTCTCTCAGTACTTGTCCCGGTTTCCGGTCCCCGAAAATTCGCTTCGTTACAAAACATCAAGTACATCCTATCACGACTACTCCTAATGAGCTTGAAAAAGAACACGAAAACCTCGAATATTTTCTCAGTGTTTTCACCACAATAACGAATATTTAAGTAAGAAAGACAACAGTTCTTTGAAATCCTTGAAAAAGAAATACATGTGATACCAGATAAAGATATGTTTCTGATTCTGGAAGACTTGAATGAACGTGTAGGAGCAAATGAGACCTTAGGTACTTTAGGCAGAAATTTAATTAAAAAGCATTTGTACAATGATGCCAATTGGGCACCGTAAACCTATAACTAGTATCGAGAAATAAAGAATTAATAAAGACCAGATTAAGCAAATAAAGCAAGTCTACTAGAAACGTTTTTCAAAAACACTAGTAAAAGACTTATATGTAATTCAAAACCAAGTATGGAGAGTGATACAAAGTGTAAAGGCAGAGATAAACGAATATCTTCTGACTATACCAGGTGAACCAAGAAAAAATTTGGTCGTAGATTATTTCAACAGAACTTCCCTCGACTCTGAAGTGCAGTACAAGAGATCCAGTTTTTTGGAAAAATTGTAAGTTGTATTTTGCGAATTTTAGTTTTTTTGTGATAACCTTTATAAGTTAAAATAAAAATATGTGTGTAATTTTAAAGTACAGGTAAAGAAGCATGCTACACGTTTGTTTCAAGTCAGTTTTTCCATGACAAAATTTTGGAATGACGTTATCAACTGTTTTACAAGGACCTGTATATAGCAGTTTGGATGGGTGCAGTGCAAATTTTCGGGAAAATGGAGTGAATCGTTCTTGATTTAATCAATAAAATAAATTCCCACATTCATTAATTTTTTTGAGTCACCCTGTATAGGTAATTCTAAAAAATATGAGTGCATTCATAAACCATAAGAAGTCATAACATTTTGCTAATTTCAGAGAGGATTTATTCGTCAAAATTCTGAGATGACGTCATCAATTTTTTGGGAGGAAATAAAGTAATACATTTTGATTCAAGATTTACCATAATTAACATTCACGTAAAACGTTTGCAAGATTTCAGAGCATTAAGTTTTGCAGTTTCAAAGTTTTTCAAAAATCTGGATATCTAGAGTGAAAACACGGATTCTTACACCACCGGTGCGGGAATATCTTATTTTAAAAAATTTAAAAATTATCATTGTAAATTTTAGAGATAACGTCATCTCACTAGTGGTGTTAAGGTAAGTTAACTTTCGCTTAGAGTTTTACCATCTATATTAAGTACATAGGAGTAAAATTTGACAACTGGTCTAGTAGTTTCGGAAATTAATTTGTTTAATAAAAATCGACACAGACGACAGACAGACCGACAGACAAAGAGATAGACAGACAGGCAGACGACGACAGACGGAAACGGGAGACCAGTTTTTTCGAACACTGGGGGTCATGAAACGTAGAGATAGCATAACATTCGTCCTATGGACCCTATTACAGTACTTTCTTAGCTCACGCCCGGGAAGTAAAAATGACAATGAACAACATATGCCAATCAAAAGATAAGTGGAGAACAAGAGATATTTAAAACAATAGTTGAGCAGGCAGTCAAAAGTTTGAAAAGTAAGAAATCGCCAGGATTTAAATAAGCAAGCTAATTCAATTTAAGAATTTAATAAACCGATCGACGTAAACCAAACAACCCTTAGAAACCACGGAAATGAAAACGCTGAGAAGAATAGTTAATAAAACTATATGGGATCAAATACTTAGTAGAGACACTAGAGAGCAGCTGGAAATACAGCCAGTAAATGGACAAAAATAAGACGAAGAGAAAGGGGTGAACACAATATCAAGAATGGGAGAATTATAAGAGTAGTTGGAGACAAGTTGCCAGTAGGAAAAAGAACTAGAAAAAGACCAGCCAAAAAATGGCAGGAATCATTGTAGATATGGAAGGCTGCAGCCTATATGGAAATTAGAAGAGGAAGAATTTGTTTTTTTACGGCAATTCCTATAATTATGTCAAAATAAAAATAGAGATGGAATTGAAGCAGGCAGTGTAATATAATATATAGTAATATAATATTGTGAATTTTTTTGTCAAAAATGTGCTGAATGTTTTAAAATAAGGTTGGGTTATTAAACCACAACAACGTATTATTTTGCAAATTTTAGATACAATGTATTTAGCAGATTTTGAGACGACGTCATCACATTTTCGGTGGGGAGGAACTACTGTTTGTAATGTTGGACAGTGTTTTGCCATTTAGACGATATTATTAAAATAATTCATATAAAATTCGTCCGAAGGACTCGATTACTACACTTCCTTAGCAGTATTTCCTAATTATGAAATGCACTCAAAATATGAAAATAATAAGAATATAAGAAAAACTTGATGTACAAAGAAAAATAAATTTAAAAATTAGCATACATTTAGTCTCACAAAGTGATGTCGTTTTACCCCTCTACGACACAAAGGCTTCAGGCTTTGGATTCTAGTAAAGCACAAATAGTGAAGAAGAAAAAAACTTTAACCAATACAAATTCTAAGCAGAAACTGTATTATTTAAAATGGAAAGAATGAAAGAAAAAAAATCAGAAGTCCCTCACCAAAACTAAGAGTATAAAAGACACTATAATAAAACTTAATTTCAAATTTCAAAAATGAAAAAACTTGTGTATTTTTATAAAGTATTATTGACAAAAATTGTTTTAACAACTAGTAGTAGGAATTTTATAAAGGTACGTTCTATGAGGCTACAAGCTACATCTAAAAACCTATTAGGAATTTTCAAAATGCTATATTCTACGCAAATTTTTCCTAGATCTAACATTATTTTAAATAACTATAATAGTAGTAACATTCATTTTGTTTTCTAGGTTCCTAATACTCAAACATTTCATGATAAAGTGCCGAAAATTTACGTGCAGATAACGTATTACACAAAACACTGCATTTGTCTTGATTTACATATTCGTAAATTATTATTCTGATACTTTGCACTGATATATCACTATGTCCTATTTCCTAACAAAATAAAAACTTGACATTATAGTCTAACGGCTAGTGACCGATTTACTTTATATGTTTCAAACGGGTAAAACAACATATCTGGCATTTGAAGATGAGGCTGTTTAAAGAAAAAATACTGTCAGAACATTGCTACCCCCCCAAATCGTTAACTGAATAATAAAAGAATTGTATTTCTTTAATATATTTGTGTTTTAATAAAGCAAATTTAAATTTTTTTTTGTAAATTTGGGGTTGGTTATTCCGGCCGATATCATTTGTCAGAATGGACAATCCTTCTTCTGTATAAGTATACAAGATTTTATCTACTGATTTTCACGAGTACAGAAATATATAAGGTAAATCTGTCGCTAGGTCTTAAGCCTATTAGTGTTAACAGTTGTCTTAGATCTGCAACGTGCTGTAAATATATCCAAACTGCCTATTATCATTATTATATGAATGAACAACGACTGAAGGTACAATTATGTGACTTACTATAGGAAAATCATAATTTTTAACTGTCGCCTCCATGTTTGGGCCCCTTATAGATGGAGAATTTTTTGAGACAACCTGATTTTTATTGAATACTGAAGATTCTTCTGTAGTAGATTTAGTATCGATGTTAACATGCTCACTACCTAATGGGTACTTGCTCAAAAATATCTTCTGAGCATTGTCATTACTGTTTCCAGATTCACGATTTATAGATTCGTCGTTACTTATAGCAGCAGCTCCATATTTTTTTCCACTGAATAAATTTTGCTTTTTAATATCCACAAAATTATCAGATTTATAATTAGAATTAGCTAACGAAAATTGAGAATTAGATGTAACAGCATCTTCATAGGAATTTTTGTCTGCATGTTCCTCTTCACTTTGTCGAAATCCTGCAGTTTTCACTAATGAACCACCAACGGGCAAAAATCCAGTAGAACTTCCAGCCACGTAACGTAGGTCATGACTACCTTCTTCATTTACAAATGAATATCGACCATAAACGTTGCCTTTATTGTCACCGATTTCTTGCCGAGACTGAAGAGGAGTTGCATATTCAAAACTGTAGGAGCTATCATTGTGCGGTGGAGATTCGAACGGTACTGAATAAAGTGTAGGTGATTCCGGGGCCGATGAGTGGATGCTTCTTAAACCATTTGGAATTGCTAAACTCCCACCAGTCACGAGGAATCCACTGTCTTTTCTAGCTACATAAGTAAGGTCATGCGTCCCTGAATCATCTGTGTAAGAATATTTTCCTTGGACATTGTTTTCAACGTCTGCCGATTCAGCACGTGAAGATGCACCCGATGTGTATGCGAAAAAGAAAGAACCATCAGGATTCAATACATTAACTGCATTATTCCCAGAATTTGAGGGTTCTGAAATGTACGATGCTCCTGCCGAGTTCTTCGACTTGATTAGATCTTTTGAATTTACATTCACACTTGTTCTGCTAGTTGTTTTCACATCATCAATTTTCTCGTCGATTTTTTGGACGTCACTTTTAGAACTTAATTCGTTTTGTTTTTTACTAGAAACTGTAGTAGTGTAGGAAGTACCTCCTGCTGTACGATTTTCTATTGTAGTCTCATAAAGAAGTGGCAGGAATGGATGTTTCGAGTAAGGATATAAATGAATATCGTCCTGATTTTCTGTAATTAAATAAGCATGTTCCATATTATAAAAGATTTAACAGTTCATTGATTACCTGTGTTTAAATTATTTTTGTAAACATGGTGCCCTCTAACTTGCTTAGAGGGTTCAGAACGTAAACCTTCGCTAGTATAATACCCATATCTATAACCTCCATCATTCCCAAAAACTAAGAACTGACCACCGGAAGGTATTTGAGAGTGAACTGATAATACAGTACTTTCATCAAAGATTAGAAAAAATAGTGTTATCTGAAAAATCAATAAGTTGTTTTATGTTTAAAAGATATAAAACTTACTGTTGTTGCATGAGCTCTCATGTCTTTACAATGGACACTCCCAACACAAAAATTTGTTTACTAACACAACAGGATCCTTTATATACTTATCCAAACTAACAGATTGATCTACATACTAGACTTACGATTGGGTCATCAAAAGATCGTCAAGGTTCTTTAACTCTGCTGCTTCGAATACAAAACCACTCAAAAAAACTTGTAGGTGGAATATTGTTTCACGAACTCTGGATAATTAAAAAAGCGGCATGTATGTGTTAATTAGAGGCGATTTTGTAGCTAAATTTATAAATGTCTCGCTTTTCAGTGATCAAAATTTTTTGTTAATGCTAATTTAATTACTGGTTAATTAAAATTTGAATTTGTTGAATGCCTTTATTGTGATGTGTTACGTAATAAGGAGGTGCTATGTAAAACTCGCTCAACAAACGCAGAAACTATTTTTATTACCAAATTTAAAATTATAACATTTTTAGCAAGCATTAAAAATTTTAACAAAAAGTACACATATGAACATAAAGAAATATATCTGTATTGATTTGTGTTAAAAAGAGGAAATATTTGTTTCAATTAAAAACAAAACATTGTAAATTGTTATAAACTTAATAAATTTAAATGATCATTTTTACTATTTTATTCAGTAACATAAACACGAATAAGTTGTACATATTTATTGATTTGTATTAATTTGTGGTTAAAATAAATCTATCAAAAAACCGGCAGGCAAATTTTAAGTGTTGCACGTTACGAAAGAACAAAAGATAGCCTTGATTCAAATGTGTGTCGTAATTCCTATTGTCATACATCTACCAACTAAGTATTTAATTTTAATTGACTTATCTCATCTTAGTCACCCACATGAAATAATTAGATAATGTCAATGATTTTCTTAACTAGCTTAATTCGCAACTGATGCATATTTTTCTAAAGAATGTAATTAAAACCTACACAAGTGCAGGTTACAATTTATGAACAGTTAAAACGCCTCTATATCATTAAAATCTAAATTCTTAGTTTTGAAAGTTTACGTTACTGCTGATATCAACTGCTTATAATCATATAATGGATAATTAGATACTAATCCGAAATCAAATTAATAGTCTCTGCACGAAAACCAGTCACTATATTATATTAATTGATCCTGAAAATGAAACGTTTTATTTTATAAGTTTATTTATGCATAATAAATATGCTTATAAATTTTGTGTCATTTTATAAGAATAACAATAAATAACTATAACTAGATAAACTAGACTTTGCAGTCACCTGTTTTTAAACCAAATAATTTGGGCATAACATGGTGAAATTAATTTTATTTTTACCCAAACTTCCGGTTGACAAAACGAAGTATTTCAACAAATGGACGACTTTAAGGAGTTGTAAATGAACACAAAAATGTAATTATTTAAAAATGATAATTTGTCGGTTGTGTTAAAACAGGTCTTTTATCGATGCCCTTAATAAGAAGTTATATATTAGATGTTCAACTTCAAAAGAAAACAATTAATGTAGAGTTACTAGGTAAACCAATTTGCATTTAAAAAAAAGTATGCCCAGAAATGCATATTTTATTTCAGCATAGCTCTTTCCAGTAATATGAAATTCGACCTTCAGTACCATTTAAACAATGTGCTGAGATCTTTAGACTATATATGTCCCTCACCTCTGACATACTATGGAGGTGTCGGTTAATCTATATGCAGCGTGAAACAAATTCCAAAATTTTCTATAAACCTACATTTGGGAAAAAACACATTTTCACAATTTTTTGCATCACTAACCTTGTTTTTATAAATAGGTACCTATGTAAAAAGTTGAGAGAAAAACTAAATAGTTGTGTTAAAGAAAGAACAACAAATATTGTGTGGACAGTGTATTTTTGAAAAGATTTCAAGTAAATCGGAATAGTTAATCTTCTATAATCTTCAAGTTAGTGTTAGTATTTTACTAAAATTTGCAAAGTGTATGTTATGCTGCATATTTTGAGCGACAGTTACTTAAGAATCCTTTCACATCATGCTAACATATTTTTTTAAATGAATTTTGATTTAAAGAAAATTTTGGCTTATACAATGATGTTGTTTAAATATTCCCTTCAATCAATTTTAAGACAATAGAAATATCTCTAATTAGTAATTACATCATCACAGTAATACTAATAAGCCGCTCGTGATTTAATATATAAAATCAATTGCTTGATTAATTATTTCTTTGAATCACCCTGTATAAATAATTCTAAAAAAATATTAATGCACTGATAAAACACAAGATTTTGTACATTTTACATACGATTTACCTTCGGATTGGATGCCGTCATCAAGTTTTTGTTTGGCGGGATGCGGCATGAACAAGCAGCATTTGGATTATTATTATCAACGCGCGGAATTGTGTTTCATACGCTCGATCCAGTGCTGTCGCGGCGATAGTTTGATTACAAATATATTTTTCTTTTGGACTATATCAACATAATATAACATTTCAAGATCACAAATCTGTGGTCCTGTGTTTGAAAAATTAAAAAGGGCATCGAGTATTGTTTTTTGAAGTAATATAGTAATATAGAAGTAGTTTTTTAACAAGCTGTAAACACTCCAAGCGACGCACTGGCTACGACCTTGTGGACCAGATCAAAGCGTCCCCGCTACTCGCCTTAAAACACACCTTGCTTCAACTGGGGAATTGCATCCGTAAGATATTTTTCCGCCCAGTGATTATTATCAATAGACGACATATAGGCGACAGACAGTCGACAGAGAGAAATCTTAATTACTGTTCTAATCTCATTAAAAAAATTTCAGGTACATTTAAAAGTTCAAAACAATCGATATAGAACTTTCTGAGATTGGTCTGCTCATAAATTTCCCACTAATAAACACACATGCAGGATACATACCACAGATACATAACAGACCGATAATAATCGAAATGAAAATCCTATTATTTTTGGATATTTCGTTTCTGAACCAAAATTAAATTTACCTTAAAGTTATCGTGCTTTTCAAGGACAAAACATCTTTATATTTAGTTTAAAAAGAATAATTAAGTCAAAAATCATCAAACCAGATCGTAAAATACACTCATAAAATTAGACGAACCATTTAAATGAAGGAATGCCTACTTGTAAACGACTTTTTTGTAGGTAAAAACATTAGCCAATGATAAAATATAAGAGTACCTGTTGTGTCGAAAAATAATGCAAAAACATTCAGTCGATTATCAAATAACATGATTTTTTATCACATGATTTACTGTTTGTGAAATAATTATCTTCTTTTTACATAGCACTGTACAATTTTTTAAGCTACGGAATTATTATAACTAATTCATATTCCTATATAAACGTTATGACTAAATTGTGAAACATTCGGATGCAGTACTGTATTAATTAATACAAACCTGTTATGATTCAAAGTAAACTTAAAAGACTGATTAATTTATTGTTATACGACTGTTTGATTTAATGCCTTGATTTAAAAAGGTACCCATGTTATTACATCATTTTAAGGAAACTTTTAAAAGTATGTCACTAGACTGTCCTTACATATTTTTAATTGTTGGAACATTGTTTTTAAATAACAATAACCTTAAAGAAAAAAATTAATAATTCAGTGTTCTCATAATAAAAAAAAGTGTAGTTAATTAATTACTATGGTAAAAAATAACTTTATTAGAATTCTGATAACTATACAATATATTACAAAATAATAATTATTTAAATAAATTATTCATTAAGAGTTGTTGTCTCTGTATTTGTGAAAGTAGTAGTAGGTATTGTCGTCGCTGCTGTTGTTGTTATTCTACTAGTTTCCGTAACCGTACTATTGCTCACTAAATCACTAGCCGCTGAATTAAGTTGTTCTGTTTTTATACTCATATCTTCGTTATATTGTTCACTAGGAGAAGGAACTTTGGATATTAAAGGCAACAAGTCAATCGACTGAACGTGTGCCCTAACAGAAACTCCAGGTGGTACCGAGAAAAGTCTGTCACCAACATTGGTCACAATGGTACCTGAACATCGTTCACAGCCTTGACCACCCACACCGCCCTGAATCTGTATAACTGGTGGTCTACCATTAAGTGGAGGTCGAGAATTAGATTCGCTGCCAAATAAACCATTGGCATCCTCGTAATCATCTGTATACGATGACTCTCCAGGTCTTGACCCACTTGACCCACCACCTGAAGGTCGAGTGGGTTTACCGAATGTACTACCACCAAATCCTCCAGGCCGTGGACGTTCACCTCCTCCTGCAAAAACAATATTGTTTGATCTAATCGTTTTATACATATGTCATCATACCGGTGCTTAAACCAGAGTCATCTGGTCCAGGTCTGTAACTTCCATCATCCTGATTTGCGTCTCCTGGTGGTATGTAGGACCCATCGTCACCCGTGTCACCCGAATCAGGTTTGTAGGAACCGTCATCGGATCCTCCAGGCCTTTGTCCACCTGATCCTGGCCGTTGTCCCCCCGAGCCAGGTCTTTGCGTAGGTCCAGGTGTCGGCCGCCCTGAAGGTCTTTGTATTCCTCCACCACCGCTACCACTGCTGCCACCGCTACCACCACCGCCAATCCCACTGGATTGTGGAGGTCTTGAGGGCTTCGGTGGCCTGGGTTTTGACGAACCGGAAGGACCAAACAATGCACCTTCGAAGTCGTCTGATTCGTCGCCGCCATCGCCTCCAAAATCGTCGCCTCCAGGTCTGTTAAAATCACCTCCTGGCGACGGTCTTCCTCCTGATGGAGGTCTGATGCCACCTCCCGATGAAGATCCATCAAAATCGCCTCCCGATGAAGGTCCATCAAAACCTCCTCCAGATGAAGGTCCATCAAAACCTCCTCCAGATGGAGGTCTATCAAAACTTCCTCCAGCTGAGGGTCTGTTAGCACCTCCTCCAGATGAAGGTCTATCAAAACTTCCTCCAGATGAGGGTCTGTTAGAACCTCCACCAGATGAAGGTTTATTAAAATCAGTACCATCACCTCCACCCCCACCCCCAGCAGCAGGCAAATTATCTCCATCTGGGCCTTCTCCAGGGGTACCCAAATCACTTCCAAAGTCGGATCCACTTTCACCGGGTCTGGAACCTCCACCTCCACCTCCACCTCCAGTGTTAATTGGTTTTGGTTTCACGTGACCACTAGCAGCTGTATCAAACACGTCATCTTTGATGTAATCATAGAAGTCTGGTGGTATAATTTCAGGTCGACCAAATGGATATACCGTTGGAAGATGAGGTCCTTTTACATTTTTAAGGACTCTGTAACCTGTTTCGGGTCCAGCAATGTAATGGACGGAATGTTGTACACCTTTATCATCAAGGTAAGTGTAAGAACCTCGCACGTGACCTGATGAATCGCTTGTTTCAGTTCGTCTTTGGTCAGGACCGGCTGAGACAAACCTGAAATTAAAGGATCAGAAAAACATATATTTTTTGAAGAGAATAAAGTTTATGTACCTGTAACTACCATCAAGCCCTCGCTGAATTGATGTTCTTCCTCTAGGGATTGGCTTTCCTCGTCCTCTATAATACAAACGTCCGTAATAAGCTCGTGGATTCGAATCGGGAAAAGGTGTTTTAACATGAAAGCCAGTATTCTTTCCTGCAATGAACTCAACATTGTGCAATTCTCCGACATCGTCAATATAATTATATCTTCCAGTAACATCTCCGACCCTGTTGGCATTTTCTTGACGATTGTAAGTTCGAGTTTTAAATTCAAAGCTATAGCTAGGATCTTCATATGGATCGTAGTAGGGATCATCTCTTGATCCAACGGGTCGAGGACCATTTTGATTCAAGTCATACTTCCTGTGCACATTTTTACCTCTTGGTCTATAACCTCTTGGGCCTGCCGTATATTCCGTGGAATCAATTCTTCCTGCCAAATATATTTTAATGATTTTGAACTGTTTGCACATACTGAAATGAACCTGTTCCAGGATTGCGACCACCAAATTCTCCCCTCACGACATTATTCCTGTTCCCAGCGGCATGATGGTATGAGTTCGGGTTATTGTAACCAAATTGAAAGGATCCATCGCGTTGTAATATGTTATAATCATCATCAGCAGCTTGTGTCGTCTTTAAAACCGATAAAGTCAGAAGAAAGCACCATGAAGGCCACTGCACACAAAAATTTAAAATTAGTAGGATGTAAAATGTTACCTCTGGACCAGGATATTTGGCGCCTTAAAAACAAGGCAGAATCCAAAAAATTTTGCTGTTTTCCGAAAGTAAACAATCAAAAATGACCTAAAATCCTTCAAAAATCACAAATTTGTATACACCCCAAAAATACCCAAATTCTATTTCTACCGATTTTGCCAATGGACTCAGAAATGTTAGACAATATGAATAAGGTTTTGTATTATCATCTACCAATATTATCAAAAAGGCAAGCAAAATCAATGATTGAAATAAATTTGTTCAATTTGAATTGTCATCTCGGAAAGACTCTCCCGAACTTACCCCGACGTGGGAATTTGACTTTCCAGCACTTGTGCTTTTTCCCGACATCTTTTAGTGGACCGATTTTAACGAATTAGGTATCAATCGATTCGCCTTCATAGTATCATAGGCTATAATACATTTTTGAAACTTTAATATGGCGACTGTTGTAATTAACCCAGACATGACCATCACCCTTTTTAAAGGAAACCTATTTGCCTGTCATCTTACAGGAAATCTCAGGCACATGGCTTCATTAAAAAATTCAATTTATAATGTAGCATCGTTTTTACTGAGCCGATTTTGACAATTGAGGGATCAATCGATTCATTTCATCGCAAGAGTATCATGTGTTTGAAAGAACGTAAAAAAAATCTATGCCATGCTGAATAACAAGAAGTAAAAAACTGATAGTTTCATTTGTATTATTTAAGTTGAATTTGTTAATTAGATATACCAATGTAAAGTATTACCATTACTGACGGTTATTAATACATATAGCTATACATTCTAATTGTAGCAGAACAAAGGCAGAAATGCTGACGGAAAATGATATTACCCTCACGCTCATGAAGGCCGAAAATACGTTCTCAAGAGAAAACCTTAGTGAACAACAGATTAAGTTAAAAGGGGAAGCTGTATTGAAGAACATAGTAGAAACCCTACGACAACAGCGCAATAAATCAGACGAAAAGTATAATTTTTTTTAAAAAAGAGCACCATGTCTCATCTGCCATCATGATGGACCAAATGTATGAAAGTGAAATGAAACTGAAGAAATGTGAAGAGCAAATAATGCAAGAGTGTCAAAATAAATAAGAAGAGGAAAAGAATATAGACACTCAAACTCAAAGTGAACAAAATAATATACTACAACAACTAAATAATTAATAAACAGGAAGAATATCTATAACTCAAAGACGAACTGAAAAGCTGATCAAATTTGGGAGGTCCAAAATAAGCTGGTAGGTTATTGCAACGTTCTTCCTTTAATGCATTTTCTATTTAATTTCATCTTTTAGAAAAGAATGAAAAAATATACTACAAACAGATGTTGCAGAATCAAAGAGTTCGTGTATAAGAAGTGCATTATCGAAGTTTGGGAAACAGGAAATTTCAAATTTTCAAGTCATAAAAAGTGGTAAACTTTGGAATGAATATTTAAAAACAATTAATAATGTTACTCTTCCACCAAACGTCGTAAAGTGTGTCAACAATTTATTTGATAAATTAAATAAAAGTACCCACAATTAATATTCAATAGGAGATGATGTTATTATCGAGGTATGTGCCTTTGATGTAAATGAATTATGACACAATTTAGTTTTTTTTTTGTATTATGATTTGTATTTTTTACAGAAACTATTAAAATTTTCAAATGTTATCTACTGTACTTATAGAGACAGCTGAAATGTCTGGTAAAATATCGCACGATAAGAAATTTAGCTTTCAACAAACGTAGAAAGAATGGAAAAATGTTCCTCAAGATAGACTTTTAAAACTTGTGATTGAGGGCTATGCCACCACATATTAATTTTATATTGTGTTTGACACTCGTTATTTGTTTTATGAAAATAATTTTAGGAGTCCTATCTTTTTAAATTTAGCTTAAATGCACTGTCAATTTTTTTAATATAGTAAATTCGTTTTTTTGAGGGATGTTTATAGACCATATGCTCGACCATCTTATTGTTTAAGTAAAACGCTCAAAAGTCAAAATGCGTTCCAAAGCGATGTTATTCATTATTAGATTTAAACGCAGCACGATTGAGCATATTACGTGTGTGTATATCTTTAAAAAATTAATTTACTTGTTATGCACACTATAAGATCCTGGTCTAGAAGTAACACTTTACATCCTACTAAAATTAGATCCGGATATTACGTATTTCTGGAAATACCTCTGATGACTTAATATTACATTTTTTAAACGTTAATAATAATATGTGTGATTTTTGTTACTGCGCATTAAATAATGTATAACTACTTATTTGAAAATGGCAACAGTTTACGGCATAAAAAATTTAACATACTAAGGTGAGATTTAGAAAATTTTGAAACTATATACCATGTAGTACAAGATAACATAAAAATTATATGAGATTTGTTGTTTTACAATCGGTTCACATTTAAAGCTGACCGCTAAAATGGAATAATTTCCCAACTGGCACTGTTTGATAAGTAAACAGAATTAAAGTCCGTGCACTAATTTCACAAATATAATAGTCCTTTAGGTACCGTCGTTTCCAAAAAATTTCGGGCAAATAACATTGACATGAAAGTCATATTCCCATCGCCTGATTTGCTCATCTTGCCCGAAACTTTTTCGAAACGACTTTACACGACACACAACCACTTACATTTTTCAAATACATTGCAGACACTATAAACACAAAAATCAAAATGGTACTGAACTCCAAAATCCATAAAGAACTTTATATAGTGGTTGATAAAATAGTGGGGCATCAACACTATTTTTTATTCAGCATTGTTTTTAATAAGACATATGCAAATGACTGACCATTTATTCTCTGCTCATTCTGAAAATGAAACTTGCCAAATACCCGTCTGGACCATTGTAATCCGAGGGAATGCTTTCTACCGTAAAGATCTGTGAGATGCCCTTGCAAATCGTTCCTTGGTCTGGTGATTACAATTAAGCTGGGACCTCAGATTTTGTTAGCTGAATTCTTGGACGTCACTTTAGGTGAATTACGCGTCTTGGGAGCATTATCACGTGATTTAATTAAAGGACTTTTAAACAAGTCAAGTTAAAGTTACAGAATCTTCAGTAACGATTAATTTATTGCATGGATGGTATTAAATGTGGATTTATCTTCCGCAGAATACTGTAATGCAAATAACATTCATTAAACGGAAAATAAAGCAATTAAGTTTAAAAGCCATCCGCTTAAGATTTTATTAAGATATTTCTAAACAGTCAAATAAATTACACTTACTCTTAACAAATGGTTGCGTCCTTCTTCTTTTTGAAAATGCAGAATTAATTGTTACGAGTTTTTTAACATAACCTAATGTAAAATACAAATAACATGTGCGATAACATGATAAAAATGTTAATAGTAATTTATGCAAAAATTAAAGAGTTAAATATGTATATGTACTGCAAATGTTCACTTACATGTATAGCAGACATTTTTATTAAAACACACTGAAGCACAAGTTGAGCTTATTCCTCTGCTCTGCGCTTTAGATCTGATTTATTTTGACCGCCTGCAAATATATAGCAGAGATAGATAAGTGTATCATGTGACCACGGCCTGTAGGTTCGATGTAAATCGATATTAACTTTCCAGATTTTAGCATAGAAATAAGTGTTTTTTTGAAAAGCAGTCATACAAATTTTTTACTTTTCCAATAGATCAAAATTGAAACAAATATTACCAGTGATAATAATTTCCACCAAGTGTGTTATATGATATAATATGATTGATTAGATATCTTGATTTTTAAATGATATTACTTAAAGTTAATTGTACTGTTAAGAAAATTGGTATGAGAAAGATATAGATATTTATTCTATTAGTTTTTAAATTAAGAAATTTCCTTCATCTATTTTTTTGACTTTGTACTAAGAACATATTTGATAACTAAACAATGAGATTAGTATGACACACTAAAATAATGTATGTCTTTTTGTGGTACAAATTATTGTCACTCGCATCTAAACAAAGTTATAGCACAAAATCTTTGTTTTCATAAAAGTAACAGTGAGCCAGATTGTGCATATGATATTAGAATGGTACCAATTGGTACGTTGTGATAAGATTTTTTTTTTATTTTTCTTGTTTTAATTAGTAAGGTGTCTTTTAATAAAATGCCTTTGATAAAGGCTCTCATACCAGTGGAGATATTATTTTGTAAAAGTACACTTGGATTGTAAGGTGAAGAAAAATCTGTTCTCGTTGAAACTAGAGAAACCATTGTTTTTTAATATTTAATATTTTTTGGTGTAAGATGTAAACAAAGACTATTTATTACATAAAATACACAATACTAAAAAACAATTGAAACAAGAGTGCAAGAACAATTCGCTATCCTTGGATGAGAAATATATTTAAGTGACTAATGAAGCTCAATCTAAAACCGATAAAAACAGAGAATAAAGCTAAAAATGGAGAAATATTGAGAAATACTATAAACTACTAAGTACACTCGGAACGAAATTAAGGGCATTACATATAAATGTGCCTACATAGAAAGGGCAAAATTTGTCCTTTCAGTTCATGGGCTTGTCTTTTCTTGTATAGTACCGTCAAAAATATATACAATAAACTTGTTTGACAATTTTACAATTTTATGTTCATTCATTTTCTTTTTAGTTAATATAACCGGCGATGCTACAATCAGTTCTAATTATCACAAAACTTTTTTGTTGGTAGATTACCCATGGTATTATTTCTAAACGAACAACCACTGTAAGGTAATTTTGTTACCAAACTGGCTTTTAGTTATTGTACTCTTGAATTCGCATTTAATTGTTTATTGTTAATTTGTTTCCTAATATTTTTATGAAGTTAAGTAAGTCTGATTCCTTTAGTTTTTTTTTGTAATTTAATTTTGTTGTCAGATCTTTTTGTCGTCCTATTTGTTGATTTTGCTGTCTGCTTAATTCTCTTTGTGCTTTTCTTTTTATACTTCATTCTGCAACGTTTCGCCTGCTCGTAAGAATTCTTGTTTTCTTTATGAAGTACTAATTTTATAATTTTTCTGGCTCTCAATTTAGTTATTCCTTCTTTATTATATTCACTATTTCTTTTTATTTCTGGATTCGTAATTTTTTTATCTTTCACTTTAAATCTTATGATAGTAATCTACTAAACAAAATTGTTTAACAACGATCTATTTTGTTTCTCACTATCTTCCGTTTTCTAGATAGTAATCCCAAAAAACTTTCCTTCTTCATTGTATAATTTACTTTTGTTTTAATTTCTCATTTTCTTTCTATACGTCATTTCTTCTTTTTGCCCGAGTTCTAGTTGTGAAATTGTCTTATAACAATAAAGTTAATATATTAAATTTAATATTTCCGTTCTACTTCTCAAAGTGGCCATTATTTACAATACATACAATTAATGAAAAATATAAAAACCCTGCCAACGCCATATTTTTTATTAAGTCCATGCTAACATGTTTCAGCACCCTCTAGTGCAATCTTCAGAGCAAGGAAGTGAAGGAAAACAAAATACATACAACTTTGTTATGATGCAATTAATTTTCCTTGACTGCCTTGCTTTGAAAATGGCCGCAACATGTTAGCATGAATTTAATAAAAAATGTGACGTCGACAGAGTTTTTATAATTTTTTTATTAATTTATTACTATATTGTTTTTCCTTTTGTGATCTTTTCTAAACATCTGCTGATCTTTGGATTTTATTGTGAAATATAACTTTTGCAAAGTGAACAATTTTGTTTGTAGTTTTCTCAAACTGCAATCTCGATTTTTAGTTATTCTTTTTTTAAATGCTGCAACATATGTTAATCTGTCATTGCTTATTTACGTGGATCTAACGTTTTTTAACCCAGTTTTTTTAATTCGTTCTGCAGTTTATTGCAGCATTTGTATCCGTTCGTTTTTTTTTGTGAATTTAATATAACCGGAAGTGCTACGAATTAATAATTAAGGTTCCAATTACAACAAAAACGTTTTTTTGTAAATTATCTGCGGTGTTGTTTCCTAAACAGAGAAGGTAATTTTATCATCAACTGAAATGGAACATCTTCTTGACTGTTGTTAAAATATTAACAAATATTTGTTTGCTTCTTTATAGTTAACAATTTAATGACAGCATAATTAAACAATGTCACTGAAGTTAGCTTTGGATTTGAATTTCTATTTAGATTCGTGTTTCATTGACTTAAAGTGAGATCAGTTTGCCTTAAGCTAGGTAGCTGATAAACGCCTCATGCACTTGAAATAATTATATCTGTCCTAATAAATACAGTACAATACTTTGAGGTCATAAATATAAAAAAGAGCCTTCGAAAATTGAGATCCAGCTTCAGATCGGAAGCTAACTTCAATCCCGTTATGAACACTGAGCTAATTTCATAGGTTGAGTGAAAAAAAAAACTCAATTCATGTAAGTTGAAAATATTTCCATAAATTGATACATTATCAGTAATAATAATTCTTACCAGTGGTTCTTATTAATTAGCTGGTTTCTAGCTATGTGTTAGGATTAACTATCTAATACGATTACTTAATGGTTTTATCTTGTGGTTCAAAAATTATCATTAAATTTAAAAATCTCAAAGTTAATGTGGTCACGAACAAAATTAGACTGTACTTAGTACTACTGTTAAGCAAACTAGTTTATATATATGTAATATATTTATTAATGTTTAAACTACGAAATGGTTTTTCATCTAATTGTTGACTTTGAATGAAATCTTTGATATACTTAGTAGATATGGTATAGAATTATATGTAGACTAAAATAATTCAAATATGTAATATCGACGATATATGTCTATTGTTGTGCGAATTATTGTCATTGATAATAATTAAAGCACGGAATTTCAGTAGATGCCATACCACGTAGGACACACACAGTATGATGACTTTTTTATGTTAATGACCTCGTCTCTCTTTCGCCTCTCAGAAAGCGAATAAAGGTTCATATAACCAAGTCTTTCATGATATGGTGGCCGGTTTCTGCCATATGAGAATCTGGTTGCCCTTCGCTGAACCGATTCCAGACATCGAATGTCCTGCTGAAGTACAGGAGACCAACCACAATTAGCAAATTCAAATAAAAGCCTCACAAAAGTTTTATATAATTTTGAAAAAGCCACAGTAGTTACTTCAGCGAATGTTTTGCTTAGCAGAAACAACATCAGACAGATCACTGTTAATTTCAACACCGAAATCAAAATACGAATATGTACTGGACAACTTAATATTGCCTATACAAAATGGATGTCTGGGATTTTTATTACCAATATATAAAATAGTACATTTGTCTAAATTTAACGGGAGTAACCAGTCTTTGGACCAATTATGTATGACATGAAGGCCTTGCATTAAATTCTGAAAAATTACTGCTTTTGTTGTATATCTTGACGTCATCAGCATAGATAGCAAACAATGATGTGAGCATATATTTTAGATCAGCTGCGTAAATAAAAAAAAGTAAAGGGCCGAGTACTGAGCCCTGTGGTACCCCAGTCATAACATCAGTACTCTTGCTGAACGCACTCTCAATCTTGACACGGAAAGTGCGCCTACTTAAGAATGAATTAATCCATACAAGAATATTTCCCCGTATACCACAGTGTTGCAGCTTATGAAGAAGACGATTGTTTGGAATGTTATCATATGCCTCGTAGAAATTAATATAGATGATATCAAGAGGACACTTAAGTCTCGATTCAGCAATTCGTGTTTCAAACGCAACCGCAATTTTAAAATTTTGCTATCAATCCAACTGAAGAGGAATGAGACCTATATACACAACCCAAAACAAAAGTAACATACCTATTAGACAACTTGACTTTAATACTACAATTATGGAACGATAGTGGAGTGATCGAAAATTGGACAAGACATATTTTAAAAAATATATACAAACCCCACCTCCTTTCATATGCACCCTATCATTTCGGAATAATGAATAATTTTCCAGAGAAACCAATCCGTCTGGTAATGCAGGAGTTAACCACGTTTCTCTTAACAGTATAATAGGGGGCTTATACAGTTCCACAAAACCGCAAAAATCATCATATTTTGCACTTAAAGATGCCACATTAGTGTAAACAATAGAGCTGACAAAGTAATTTGAACAAAAAGAAGTATTATTTAAACAAACGAAGATAAATATATACTTTAAAAACTCAAGGAGGCTTTAATTAGGAGAGAAAACCATTTGTTTCTCTAGTATGAGCTCCCTCTTGCAGGAAAGATAAATCCATAAGCATATTATCTGTTTGACTGTCTTTGGACGGCCTTCTGTCACTTACATTTATTTGCTTTTTTGATTTTCCGTTGTACTTTCCTGCATCTATTTCTTATGCTTTTATGTTCTATGATCGGGTACATGTCAATAATAAACTGTACACCCCATCAACATCTTCAGAGTAAGTCCGTATTAAGCTCAAAATGTCCTTTTCAGCCATGGCTTTATCCGTAATTTCTACCGTTTCATCATAACTTGGGGGATACTGTTCTGAATAGTTCAATAAACCTTTGACTGGAAGCAATAAGTCTGATATTGGTGTCAGTCTTTCGCAGGAGTCGTTCATTTTTGCTTTTTTTTAGTTTGTGGCTGCTATTTTTACTAGAATTACCCTATAAATCAAGAGGAAAAATTTCGGAAGAAGAATCGTCACTCAGTTGTTCTTTTCCGGAAACGTTTGCTGACGTTTCTGTAGGTATGACCGCAAAATTTTGGGGGTCTATTGTCTCAGTGCCGCCATACTCAGTATTTTGTATTCCCGTTCTTAGAAAGGACATCTCTGATACAGTTATAAATCCAAGGTTCTTAATTTGATTCTCAAAGACATCATGCGGAATCGAAAGAGAATTCATTAAACGATGTACTACATCTATATCTTTAACTTTAATCGTGGGGTGCTTATCAATTATTTCATTAGATAACCGAAAGTACCGGACCTATTGTTGTCAAATTTTATCTGTATTTTAGAAATATCGTGTGAATGGTGAAACAGTAACCAAAATTTGGCTGATCATCTACACCAAAAATTTGATACCAAAATTTTATCTTTATTCTTATTTAAATTTTATAAATTATGACATATTTATACACTCGTGGCGTTTGAAGTCGGCTTTATTTTGTACCTTAAATATCCAATGTTGTATTGCATAATAACGTTCTACATTTTAAATTAGCCTGGTAAATTTCTATGAACTTTAACTGTTTGTTCCCTACAAAAATTTGATGTTCTCATTGTAATATTTTATTGCATAAATCATCTTTAAAATGTACAAAATGTTGTGTAGTTTATTAATACATTGAGATTTCTTAAAATTGCTCATGCAGGGGTGACCTAAAAAATAATTACTTAATAAAGCAATTTATTATTTATTATAAAAACAGTTTACCTCATTTTTGCGAAATTTTGGGAGTTCAGTACTGTTATTATTAATATTAAATTGTGCCTATCCACACTGCTATTTATTTGTCCTCACTTGAAACATACACATATCATGTTTCGTTACCTTTAGTTCAGCAATTCACAAACAATTTTATTTAACTAAAGGGGTTATTACAAAAAAAAAAATCCAAAATTAATTTCATAGTTTACCTAAGAAACTGGACATGTTTGATTGTACTTCACAGTCGAGGAAATTTTGATTGTTTTCTTTTCCTGTATTCTTCTTTCGTGTAATCTGAATATACTCTATTTGTACACAGGCTGATTTTTTTAACCTGGAATTTTCAAATATCTAGAAAAATAAGCATTCTACAAAAAAATGTCGAGATTCAAAATTTAATCATTCTATAGGGGAAATACTTTGGTCCAAAAAACTAGTCCTCCTTACCTCTGCTTGGGCGGGGGCAACTTTGAAATCTTAAATAGGAACCCCAACTTTTTATTACAGATTCGGATTCTACGGCTAAAAGTAAGTAGGGATCGTCTAAAACTTTTTTTATATACAGGACAAATGACGCTGTAATAAACGAAATTAAATTTTTTCGATTTCTCCTACCTATGCATACAATTCTGCAATAAAAAATGCCAGGTTTTCATTGTAAAGAATCAAAAATGAGTCGTTACATTATTGACGGCAACTTGAATGGTGAAATCTACTGAGACATTTTGGAAAATAAACTGCCAACATTATTTGAAAACTTGAGCTTAGAAGTGCGATAATATACGTGGTTTCAACATGATGGTTCTCCAGCACACTAGTCGATGGTAGCACGTAAAGTACTTTGATCACTGGATCGGTAGAGTTGGTCCGCTAAATTTGCCTGCCAGATTACCAGATCTTAGTTCCCTAAATTTCTTTTTGTGGAGCTATCATTCTCAAAGACAAAGTTTACAAACAATAACCAACAACACGTGAGAATATGAAGATTGAGCGAATCAGAAATGCTTGTGGCCAGGGGACTTATGTAAATTAAGCACCCTGATAATGAGAGGCAAGAGGACTCACGTTAATCAAGCATTCCTAAAGGAATAGAAAACTACTTCATGCACATCGTTCTTCCTGGGTTACACTAAATATAGTTTATTCGCCAGCCGTTTACATTTCTACAGGTAACAATTTTCAAGTTATTCGAATATTGCAATATGAATAAACTTTTTTGACGACGAATTTTGAGTGTTTATACAAAACGTAGTATTTTTTATTGGTAACGTATTGCAGAATCGTATGCATAGGTTCTCAGTAGGAGAAATCGGAAAAATTTGAATTTTGTCGATTCAGCGCCATCTATCACGATCGAAAAAAATGTTTCAGACAAATCATACATACTTTTAGCCGTAGACTTCCAATCCTCAACAAAAAATAGCCGTTCAGTTAATGTCTTTCTCCCGCGGTTTAAATTTTGATTCTGGTTTTCGCAGAGTGCTTATTTTTCAAGATATTTGAAAGTTTCAAGTTAAAAACATCATCCTGTATTTTCTCTCTTCGTTATCCTGTTTATTTTATTTTGCGCTTTCATCTTATATTCATTTTTACAGAAATGCACCTTTTTCATTTTATGATTTATGTATTATTTTTGCTTTGGTTTCTTGTTTTTCTTTCACATATCTTTTTGTTTCTTTCTCCAATTATGGCGCTGAAATCACCTTCAATTATCATTATTTTTTGTTCCTTTTGTAATTTCAACGTCTATACAGGTCTTTATTTTGAAAATATTGGATTAATCCAGACTTATATTATAGACATGTTGTAATATTTTATTTTTCTTTCTGTCCAATATTTCTTGTTTATCTCTCACTATTCGCTTACTTGGTTCAGCGTTTCCTTGCCCAATTTTAATTCTTTCCACAGCATAATGAATCATTTCCCAATTCACTTTGTACTAACTTTGCATAAATTTCTTTCATTTTTCTATCTACTGTTCCATCTGTATCCGTGTTTCAACTCCATATATCATTTCCAAACTTTCAAAAAGTAACACTTGTCGCTTTTTATCGTTATCTGTGTTTAGCTAGCTGTTTTACATTATGACCTACACCACCCTTTGCCTAATAAGTATATCCTGAATATATATATTCTTTAATATCTAATGCTACTTTTTTTCAATGTAAGCATAATAAAATCGACACATAACTTATAAAATCCAGTAACACAAATTTGCAACTCTGAAGATTAAAATAGAATTGGTGTATGAAGGTGAATTAACATCAAAATACACCAACAGACGAGAACAATATAATTAATGTGTTTAAGATTCCCCAGAGAGATCCATTCACATTTTTCTTGTTGTACCTACTCTACTGTGTTAAATTAACAACACCAATATTCTTAATCACATCATGCCTAAGATGATACAAGCAATTCTTAGCCTTTGTTTTATGCATAATAACTTGCCAGACACCTTTATAGCAACGGATCTGAAAACAAAATCACATGGTTGAAAATGAAAAACATTGTTTGGAGGCTACTGATGTTTGTGATTAGTCCATAATAACTACAAACATGAACATCATCTACAGAAAGTGTTAAAAAATTTCAGATGGATCAAGTTGGAGTATTGTTCTTTTTAATTGCTTGACTTACAATAGGTCGATGATTTTAGGAGATATTCTAATAACCGGAATGTAACATCCTTTTCACCCACAAACAAGGTTACGGCAATAAACATGCTACCGTTCATAAATTTTATTACTTAAGGGTAATAACACGGTTTGTATAAAACAGATTCTTAGTAATCTAACTATTATCCTATGATGCAACTAATCTAACAAATTAAACCTTTACATAGACTTACCAGAACTAATTAAGACAGATGATAATTTTAAACAACGAACATTGCGACACCTACATTCATAAATATTATCCTGATGAAAAATAATGGCAGCAGGTATCGACCTTAACTTTAAAATCTGATAAGTTCACACGTTTGTTTGTTTAATTATTGCTGCTTTGTTCGGCTAAATGTTGTGGGATACGAAACATTAAGATGGAAGGTGAGGCTAATTTTGGCAACTTTTTACCAATTTTGTGCCAGGCTCAGATTTATGTTCTGTGGGAACTTTTATAACGCGCGGTTTTTCATAATTACAGAATATATAAATGATAATAAATTAACTTAATGGGTATGTTTATAATGCTATTAATTTTAAACAATACAAATGTCGTCAAAAGTAGCAAGTAAGTTAAAAGTTGTATTTATTAACACAATAGTGCTGTGTTTTATGTACAAAAATATAATTAAAAACGAAAAGTATGACAAGTGGATGCAAGATTTCGTTGACTAGTGTGGTGTTTTCACAAGTGTGTGTCGCAATTATGGTCTGATTTTTTGACCATGACTTCAGGGCGATTGGCCGCAATATTCTCCAATTTTCTCCGCAACACAATCGAATACGTCATAAGCAATATCGCAAGTTTTTCCTTGTTCTGAAACAAAAAATGGCAACGAATTAGCGAACATTTAGAAAATAATTATTATTAAAAATTGAGTAATTGAGGTCAACGATAAAAATTGAGAAATCTACAATCGTGGGAGAATACTACTACAACGGAGATTTATTGATTTGAAGTGTTATTTTTTAAGTCAGGTATAAAATATTAATACTACTCTAAAAATAAAGTTATTGTGGAGTTTTTATCTCTTCATAAATTATAAAAGCTCGGTATCAGAAATAAAATTATTTCAATAAAAGCACAAAAAATGTGTTCATAACACAGCAACACAACTTAAAATGAAACTACCAAATTTACAGAGAAACAGTCTTAAACCACGACCTATATGTTATTTTAATAAAGACAGAAATTTTAATAATACTTATATCCATAGCTGAAACAAACCTTCTAAAGATTGAGGCGATTTCACGAATTTTTTCTGTGCTTTGACCAAACAAACATTGACAGATTGTAGCGTGGCAATGATGTATTCCTTCTGACTTACTCCTTCGGTGTATAAAGAAACAAGGCCTTCGACAGTAGGAAAACCTTTTTCGTTGACCTGTAAACATAGACGATAAGTAAAAAATTCCATATAGCATCACAGAAAAGAAAGTTTTAAAGTAAAAAAAGAGAAAAAATAAAACGACACAACTTTTTCCGGTGTCTATTAATTTGGAACACGTTTCCATTAATTAGAAGGTGCTACCATCATTTCTGACAGGTATAACGCTAAATAAAAAGGTTTAAATTGCATCAGTCATAAAATATTCATTTCGTAATTTTAGTACTCCTATTATTTTAGGGCAGCGATGTTAAAGAAAAAAGTAATAGCTTTGATCAGTGTGTATCTAGTTAGGAAAAAATAATTATTATGGTAAAATAAGAACGGCAGATTACACTTAAAAGTATACACTATTTTCTGTAATGTTGTAATAATGATTATTACTCTTTGAATACAAGAATCTAATGTCTAATGTGCACCACAGAAATGTGCACTGAAAAATATCAATCAAAATCACCTCTGGAATTATATGTCATATGCAATTGATTACCTAATCCTAAAATCACAGTCAATAAATTACAGGAAAATAGCCAAAGGTGACTTTGACTATGATTATTATTGATTATTGTAAAACGTACTGTAGTGGGATGATTTCGTAAAGATTTAAATATGCAACGTTTTACAAGTGTACTAACAAAATCATGAACTATATCTATATGGTCAATATTTAGTTATAAAAGAATTAATTAATTTGAAGTAGCAGTTATTATGCTTTCGTAAGAGAAAACAACAAATTACAATTAAATCCTCATTTCCTTCAATTACACGGTCGTTGCGATGAGGCAAGTCTTACACATAATTGCACAAAACCCAGTCAATTCATAAACAATAAAGATCTTTTTCATTTCCTTTAATTTATTTAATGCTAATGATGTATTAAACAACATCAATTCCTGGGAGCATCTTTTATACAGGTATAGAGAATATTTTTTCTTCAGATTTGGGTCTACAAGTGTTAACACAAAAAAATGATTTAAGTTTATGTAGACAGAAATCCCCTCGCCCTTCAACTACAATACAACAATCCAGCTTTTTTGACAAATTATAAAATTTGATTTTGCGAATTATTTTTTTATGATGAACCTTATAAGTTAAAATAACGAAATCTGTAGGTAGCGTTAAAACAAAGGTATGTTTCATGCAAATTTTTCTATTAGGAACTTTTGAGATGATGAATTTTGATTAACGATTTACTGTGCTTATGATAACAGCAAAAAGTTAAACAATTTTTACAAAAATCAGGATGTCTATGGTAAATCTATAATAATGGATTCATAACCCACAGTTGTAGGAGTGTGCTATTTTATGAAAGTTACGTGAGATTTGCTACGCAAAATTTTGAGGTAACGTCATCATGTTGTCGGTGGGGATAATTAGGCAACATTTAGTTAACTTTTTACCATCTCTACGATGCTCCTAATTTACATATAAAATGTCTAATAAAAATCAGTATAGGCGACAGACCACCGGCAGACGACAGACAGCCAGACGGAAACGGGGACCTACTTTTTCGCACTCTAGGAATTATAAAATCTTGAGAAAACATAAAAGCAGCGATTCGCCCGATAGACTCTATTCCTAATACAACACTTACTGAATTTAAGTTCGGGAAGTAAAAAAACTAGGAAAACAGAGTAAAACGTAAAATTTTGGCAACTCCAGTCGAGCCAGATTTTTCCTTGTAATTTATAACTTTTTGCTTTTGTTTTAACCATTCATTTCAATATAATTCATTCATTTTTGTGCTTTGGGAAACAAGAATATGTATGCGATTTTGATGTAACACGTGTTTCGGCCTGTACCAGTGATTGTAAGAAAAACTATAAAAATTCATTTTGAGACTTATATTTTTTACGACAATCCTTAATATTTATGTTAAAATAAAAACAGAGACGAATTATCAAACTGTGGGTAAAGTAGTATGCTATATTGCTATTTCGTAATACATTTTGTGGAGACGTCTTCAATTTTTGATAAGCATAGTTAACATTAATAACAACAATACTTTATACCTAGAATGCTGGGCTAATTAAGTAAGTTTTTGATTTAATTAATAAAAAAAATATGGATACGTTATTAAACCACAATAAAGGAGAATTTCGCATTATAATTAATGTCAGTCAAAATTTATTCACCAAAATGATGACATCATGGGGTTTTTGGAAAAGGTAGACAAATGAATTCTAATTGCCGATTTACCATATGTGTGCTAACCGCAAAGCGTGTGGAAACTTTCAGAACAATCAGTTTCCTGGTTACTAACTTAAATTGTCAAATTTTGCTTTTTATCCAAAAACTCATGTGCATAAGGCCAAAATAGGGTAAATTAATCGATCACAGTTATAAAAGTTTATTATTTAATCAATTTGTTTATTATTATATGCTTGTCAAAATTTTTAAATTACGTCATCAAAATTTTGGTAAGACCAGTTCTAACAAATATAAAGAAAAATTTCTCTAGAATTTTTTTTTATATTTTACTCTGTACACGACATTCGTGAAATATTTCTAAAATTTTACGAATCTCTTTAACAGTTTCGGAGTTCTGGTGTCAAATAAAATCGCCAATCACAAGTACACGACTAAATTTACCAAGTAAAATTTTGAGTTGACGTCATCAAATTGTTCGTGGGGATAATTAGACAAATACATTGCTTCTAAAATTTGACAACAATCATCTTCGTTAGTTTCGGAGATTTGGCCATCTAGTAAAAATCGAGACAGATGACAGACGACCGATCGACGAAAGCGAGTGATCTATTTTTTCTTACTCAAGGGGTCATCAAACGTCGAGAAAACATAAAAGTAGTCATCGCCGGATGGACCCTGTTATAATTCTCCTTAGCTTCAGCTCGGGAAGATTAAAGAAATGGAAATATGAAATGAAGACGAAACACATAAATTCCCAGACAGGAAAAATATGGAATTTAAAAGAGCAGAAAGCATAGAAGAAATGGTTGAACTAAACACTTAAATAGAAGTGATATAGGATATAGAAAAAAGAATATAATGTAGCAAAGGTAAAAATTGTGAGAATTGAAAATTTCCTTTTAATAAATTTACAGTAAATACACCAATATGAATGGATGTTCAGGAACACAAAATAAACCGACAAATCGAAAAACTAAATAAGTTTGAAAGGTAAGTGCAAATGTGCAAAGATCACCAACAACGGAAGGAAAATAAAAGTGTAAACATACGCAAAAGTACATTATTCAAAACGAATAAAGCCAGAAGAAAGAGAAAATTTATAAAATAGCAAATTTAAAACAAAGTAAATTTAAAAAGTAAAGACTAATTAAGTAAAAATGTAAAATTAGTTACTTTTGTCGAACATTTTAGTATCACTGTTTATCAAAATGAAACGACATGCTAAAAATTGTACTGTGTGTAATCATAAGACAAAATGAATAAGATAAACTTCCCATAATAATATATAACTCAACACAAATCAGATCCACCAAATTGTTGTATTGTATGTATAATAGATATTTATTTTATTAGGAGTTTAAGTGATACTTTATGTGACGGAGTATGGACGATTAAACGCCGAGCAATAGCGAGGCGAATTAAGTCCATACGAGTCACATAAAGTCACTTAAACTCCGAATGAAATACAATATTTTATTTTCAAACGATTAATCTTCTTTTGAAATGATTATTTCCCATCTTCTTGCTTCATTAAGGAATTGCCTTGATTTCACTTACCATGGTTACTATGGTTGACAACCACTATGATTTTCACATATTTATACTCCGGCGGGGTATAAATGCTTTATTTATACGCCGGCGGAGTATAAGCAGTACTTATACGCCGCTCAAACACGGTGTCATAGAAATGACACTTAAACCCCGGTAAAACCGTCATATAAGTGTCAGTTATATGACGTTTGAAAATAAAATATTTTTTTGTATAACGTAAAATGTATACATTTTCGAGGGATGAATATAAAATAAAGCAAGAAGAATAATTATAATAAAACCATGTTTTCCAAAGGGTTGTGTTGTCTTTACACGTCGGTATTAAACGAATTAATTTTTTCGCATCTAACATTAACATTCTGTCACAATACATTTCATAACGATTGTCTAGAAAATGGTTTGACAGTTGCTAAACGAAAAAACCACATCCACTGTTTTTGTTTACATAATACATTAGCGCAATTTAAATATTTCAAAACATGTTTCAGGTATTAATAAAATTGTTCTAATTGTATAACTATTACCACACATGCCTTTTTATAATTTTACCTAAATACTAAATATCATAAAAGACCTCCATCAACTGTAATTACTACATTTTACAATCAATAATTACTGAAGTTAAGAAATTTCACTGACAAATATAATCAACAATTTGTCAACACATCGTAATTTTTAATTCGATTAGTCGTTTAGCTTTTGATAATAATAATTAGCCGTCGTTTCAATTCACGTTCACCTTTACAAAATATTATCAGTTTTGTGAAATATAAAAATTACAAAAACTTACCGCTTTCATTTTGCGATAGACGCACTGTAGGAGACACTAAAACAAAAATATGTTAAAATCAAAAGAAATGAAATGAGGAAATAGATTCTTGTTTTTTCGCGTTCTTAATGACTTTAATTAACTAATAAACCCAGATACACATTTCTACATCATATCCCCCAAAATTAAAAAAAAAACAATAAAAAAAAATAAATCAAATATCCTGTTTATAACAATACAAATACCCGTCAATTACAATTACGTAATTGATGGTAAATTTCTGTATGAAGTCAGACACAACATAATATGATAACCAGTTTAGAAAGCTGATTGCAAAAGTAAAACTGGCACATCGGACGCCAGCACTTTTGAAGTGCACTTAAATTGCTGGGAGCAAATGTCAAAATGTGCATGCTTGGTTTATCGTCGAAACGAAGTGCTCATGTAATAACAGAGAAGAATTCTTTACTGGGTCACTTCCATTACATATAGGTACTTACCCCAGCAATGCGTTTCTCATCGTCGGAAAACGTGTCACGCTTGGATCTGCTTTTTTCGTGCAAACTAAGCGCTTCCAGGGCCTCTAAAATTAAAATAAAGTATCCAAATATAAACAAGAGTTGCTAAATGGTGTTTAATTTTAATGGTAGAAAGTGAATTATTATCTTGTTTGAAGAAGTTTGCCGCATTAATACTTTCTGTTGAGCACTTTCAAACCAGATAAAGGTAGTTAAATAGGTAGAAGCGGAAAATAGTGAAAATGTTGTCTATTACCAATTACATTTTAAGTAGGTATAGTAATAAAATTAAATAAATAATTTTTTGATACAAAATTTATTATTTATGGCAATTTTTGCATCGGTATTATATTGTGATTATCATCTTAATAAAAGTTTAAAAGTAATTTTCAACATTGTTTAACAATTCATTTGACATTTAAAATATACAATGTTATGAATGTAAATTTCAAAATTGCGGCTTATTTAACAAGAAATTTATGCAAAAAAAATTTTAAATGTCAGAACTTTCTATTATCTACAGTTTAATTTTTTTTTTCTTATGTTTAAGATACTGTATAACAAATTGCGAAACAAAATAAAATTAGGAAACAAGAAGAATGATTTTAATTATTATCTGTGTTGTGTAGTAACAATTATTTATTAATATTGTAGAATGATATGTAAAAATCTGAAAATAACATAAATTGGTAATACTTTAAAACCAAAAATGATTTGTTTGATAACTGCTAGATATTAGATGTATGGTAGTACTTTTCCATACATTTCTTTCCTTTTCTTCCCTGCTTTTATTTTTAAGCGTTAATTAAATATTAAATTTACTTTGTAGCGCAACTTTTCTCATTAATAAAAACAAACAACTTAAAAAAAAAAATTCATGTTTGTATACATATATGCTCTACGACCTTGGTCGCAATTGTCAAGTAAGATGACAGTAATCTTTTTTTTTAGTTAGGTACATAAAACTGACCACTACGTAGCTTCGTCTTGAAAATAGAAAAATGTTTTTACTTCAATTTTAGTCAAGACAAGACATATGCTGAGATTATTTTATCTTATTATCTTCATAGATTTTAAATTTAAATTTAAAATACGTGATGTTTTGACGTCAGAAAAGTAGATTTATTCAAATTAGATACACGTTTCCAAGTAAAAAATTAATCCATGCTAATGATTTGCGTTTTGATATTTTTATTTCCTTTTGTACATTTACGTATAATTATCAGTCAAAACTTGTTGTTTTTATATTAAACATATACGTATTATCTAATAAATTAATGACATTGAACAAATATTCAATATAATTTTTATTTTTTTATAATAAATTATAGTCTCAACTACAGCAACCAAAAAATAAGACACATTTTTCGTTTAATAAAGATGTAAAATGTTCAGAAGGGTACGTGTTTTCGTAAATTTTATGTGATTTAAATATACAGGTTTTGTAGTCTCTTCTAAAGTAATAAGGCAATATTTGTATAACGAAACGAATCCGGCCCAGCAGGTTAGACACGACTTGAAACAGGAAATGAGAAAAAAACACATTTTTATAAAGATGACTAAAAGCTGAAATCGTTTATCTTAAACAAAGGATAATAACAGCATTAATTGTTTATAAGTGAATGGCATTCTTCATGGACATGTATCACTATAATTTTCCTTCAGTTCAATAACTGTAAAAACCTAGCATATTAAATGTGTGGAATTTTTAGAATAAAAAACGTTTTGCTGTATATTTTTTGCCATTATTCTGAAACCGGCTTCAGTGCACGTTTAGTATTAACTACGCTATTTAAAAAAAAAATCACCTATACTTCAATCTTACCAGATAAAATAGCTAGTTTTATTTCATCCTGACACTGGTTGATAACATCTTCAATTTTTTTAGGGGCTGTTGGTGGAATATCACATTTGTGTTTCTGCGCCTACATAAAAAAAATCTATGAAAACTACTGTTACCATATAGTTTTTGACTTTACCTTGGATTCTGTAACGACAATAACGAGAATGGCAAAAATCACAAGACCTTTGACGCACATTTTGACACTGACCATCCGCACTTGCTCAGCGAAAGAAATAAAATGATTCACAGGAGCACTGTTGCAGGTGATTTTGTAAAAGTGACTCGTTACTCAACAATACTAGAGCAAGTCGAGGTATGAAATCAAGAAGTTCAATTGTTGGAGCTTCACATGTACAAGAAATGTGTATCGAACTTGGGCCGATGGGGATATTGTGAACGCTGGGAATCAGACAGAGCCAATAAAAATCGATGGTTTTAACGTTGTTGAAACAAATGCAAATGTGCGTCTTACAAACATTTACTATAAGGTTTATAAATATTCAGGTGCAATACACTTTCACTATTAAATAATTTATCAATGCGTCGACCTGGTTGAAGATGGTTCAAGGAGATAAGCATAGGCTCCACGTTCTGTAGCAAACAATCATTTAAGAGACTTTAAAAAGTCAAATTTTCAAATTTATTTCGACTAATCAAATTTTGTTTGATTACTTACCTACTACTTAAGTAAACTAAAAAGATTAATTTTTATTAATTAATTTTATATTAATAAGTAGTGGTAGAGAAAATTCTGTCATAACTATTATAAATTCAATTATTCATTGCTAGACTGGTAATAATTAAGTACCAATTTATATGCTTATATGTAGACAATTTATTATATCGTATTATTTTGAAACTGTCTAAACTACTCTAAACAAACTGGTATTTTTAATAAAATTGCGTCAATTAAAACACCTACTGCAAATTTTGTCCAGTTTCTAATTACCGTTTGTTTGCAAATCTGTAATTGTCAAAATGTCATATTTATGACATATTGGCATATATCACCGTTTCCTTCTGTGCTATTCCTTCTTTAAAAATATAGGTCTTATAATGTGTCATTAACAGTGCAATATGTTACATAAGAACCATTTTTATAACTAGTATGAGTTTACCACATACGTAATTGCTTCCTTTTCCTCAAAACATTAGATTTTAATTTTAAATGGCTTTGAATAAGTAATGATTTCGTTATGTTCACTTTGTTGAATAACGAGATAATGAAAGTGTATTTTTAAAATTACCTATTTATTGTACTACCTTCCTCCATTTCACCATCGTTCTCATTTAATTAAAGATACAGATCGTATGTACACATTTAGGAAGCATTTTCGTTGGTTATATTAATTTTAACATTTACAAAAATTTTTGCTCTCCAAAATCTTTAATGTATAGAAATGGATGTGTACTTTCTAAAATATAAATGATTAATGATCAAACCTAATTTATTTAATTTTATTAAATCTCATTAATTAAAAAAAGTGCGTGATTTATTGCATTTTAAACAAGGTTTACTGAAAAGATCACGTCTCATAGTAAGTTAACGAAAATATGAAGGTTTTTCGTTTACATAAAAAAACGCGTTAAGTGTTGTCCGTTTTAGGTACCGCATATTAATGATGTCACGAGACGAGACCAGAATTGCAAATTTCTCGTCTGAATTTTGAGTTTGTATTAGTCTGGACTTGTTCGCATGCGTGTCTGGGACGTGGATACAAGACTGGATCATATAATTTCATTATCTTGCTTTTTACTACTTTTTTTTGATAAAAATAGTAAAAAATAATCACACTGATTTTTGAAAAAAAAATGTTTAACACTCTCCAGTGGCGCTCGTCTTTTTTGTCAATAACTTTAAAAACTAATCACTTGTTTTCGCGTCTTCCACAAGAGCTTTTTTGCTCATGTACAACTGCAACAACTAGCGAAACAAGTTTACTTATTTTTTGTATGTCTATTTTAAGTATTATTTATTAACCAAATACTTGCACAAACCCGGCGTCAAGGTTGTTACTGGAACAATAATTTTTTTTCAATCTATCGTAATGCAGCTTTATGATGTTCCTATTATTTTTCTAAATAATGTAGTTCCGTAACCCTTCTCTTCGTATTAATTCCAAAAGTGAAAGTATAAACTTTTTTAAAAGAATACTATACATTTAAATGTAATTTTAGGCGAGAACAACAAGTACAAAAGAATTAAAATAAATACAAACTATATAACTTCCGCAGTTCATACTGCCATTAATTTTTTTTATTTTTTTAAGCTTGGCTTGTAGAGGAGAGGAGTGGAGTGGAAAATACTTAGTTTATGCAACAGACTTTTTTATTTATTGCAACTGCCCTATAAAGCCAAATCGTAAAAAACATAATTATGATTTTATTTTAAACGAAATAATTTCAGAATTTTTTGTGAATAGTCTGTATTATTTCAGTTTAGTGACAAAAACGAAATGTTTACTTAAAATGGCTATATTTAAGTGCACAATATTGTACATTAATTTTAATGTTTAATGTAGTGTGATTTAGCAATAACATTTTAATAATACATTGGTTCACAAATTTTCATCAAGTTTTCTTTTTTGACTTCTTTTGAATTCATATCCACCATAACAATTCCATCGCGTCTAGAACCTGAGTTAAACTGGTCAGTGTTCTAAAACAAAAAACTTAAGTAGGTACTTTGCATTTTAGTTGAATTGAAAACTCCAATTGAATGCACTTTTAAGATAGTTTGTAATCTGTTTTAAAGCAAACCTGACCTGACCTGACCTGACCTGATCTGACCTGACCTGACCTGCCTTGACCTGACTTGACCTGACCCAACTTTGAACCAGTGCGCAAAAAATATAGACAGTGTAAAAATGCTCAAGACAGTTTTTGGGACGTACATTTATGGAAAGTTTGTGTTTTGGTTTTTGGTAAAAGTAGTCGAGTTATCGCCGAGTTACTACAAACAGCGTATTACTTTGGTATGTCTGTCATTATCTAAGATAAGAACTGGGTGCCGCATATATTTTGTAACAGTTGCAGAAAGATTTTGACTTTGTGGGCTGCTGTTGAGCCAGTTTTTTCCATTTGACATGACGAGAACCTACAAATCATAAAGTAGATTTTTCTTCATATCATTCAGTTGCCGACACCAAAATAACTGTTTAAAGAAATAGTGTATTTTGGAAAAAGAGGTATACAATTTGTTTCTCTCGCGATATAAACGGACTCTTTGAACAAATGAGTCAACCTTATGATCCAAAAGATTATTGATTCTTCAAAAAGTAGTTTAGAAGTTCTATTAGTGCATGACGGAAATGAAAAACTCTCAGTTCCTGTTGGACATGTTGTAAACACAAAACGTTCTTAGTGGAAGGTCTGCGGCGACCTTAAAGTAATAGGTTTGCTCTTGGATCTTCAAGGTGGATTCACAAAATACTCATGTTTGATGCATCATGTGTTTGTGGGATAACAAAGCGAGAGAGCATCATTAATTATATCCGAAAAGAATGACTTTTGAGATTGGCATTTATATCACCAGGTCAAATAAATGTATGTAGTCAGTGGTTGGAAGTAATTCAATTACAAGTAATCCATTACTGTAATTCAATTCCTTTTAAGTAATGAGTACTTGTAATGTATTACTTTTCAAAAAATTTAATGAGTAATTGTAACGAATTGCTTTTTTTGAGTAATTCAGTCACTTTAACAATTACTTTTTGCAATTACTTTTAACCCAAATACTCAAAAATATTGTTTTGTTTTTTACCACGAATCGTTTATCTGATCTGATTATTATACCTAGTTCGTCCCCACAAAAAGAAGATTAACACAGTAGGGACTTAAAATCTAAAACGAGTTTAGCGCAGAATTTGTTAAGAAATCAGGAAATTATTGAAGCAATTCGACTCAAAACATCTCTACATAATAAATTTAAAAATTTAAAACCCAATACTATTATGACCGTTTTAAATATTATAGATCTAAATCCAAACTTTTAATGCACAATGGTTACCTTCGGTATCTAAACGAAATACAGCCATCAATCTCATCAGACCCCAAAAAATTTTGGACGTATGTTCAATCCAGAAAAGGAAAATCTAGAATCCCAGGACTCATGAGATATCTAAATCAAGAACTTGAAACACCGCAAAATATTGTTAATGCATTTGGTGAATTTTTTGAAAACGTCTAGGCTCCTCCACATTCTAGAAATTTTAATATAAGAAATGAAGACCCAATAATCTGCAAATAAAGATTGATATAGAAATATTAGAAACTCTAAATCAAAGTAAAAACTCAATGACAGCCGGTCTGGATAATATCCCAAGTTTCCTCCTAAAGGATGTTGCCTCAATTTTTGTAACACCGTTATTTTACTTGTTTAATATTATTATCAAATATTCATCATTTCCCACGATTTGGAAGAAAGCTAGTATTACACCCGATTTCAAGAAAGGAGATCCCACATTGAAAATTACCGACCTATCTGCATACTTTCCAACTTTTCCAAAAATTTTGAATCCGTCCTATACAAACGACTTTATTTTAGTGTTAAAAGCTTTATTTCTCCATTTCAAAATGGCTTTGTGGAAAAGAGATCCACTGTAACAAATCTTACCTGTTTCAGTCAGTATGTATCAGAAGCTCTGGACCATAATACTCAGGTTGACTGTATCTACACAGATTTCAGCAAAGCTTTTGATCAAATAGACCATCATATTCTTGTTTGTAAACTCAATTTGTTTGGCTGGTGCCCCAAGGATCCAACCTGGGACCTCTGCTCTTCGTGTTATATATTAACGACATTGCAAATGAACTTTCCTGTCAGAAGCTACTTTTTGCCGACGATTTAACATTTTTTTGTCGATTACTTCTACTGAAGATTGTGAAAGATTGCAGGCCAATTTAAATCAGTTGTTTTCTTGGAGTATTCAAAATCAATTATTCTTAAACAAAAAAGAAATGTTTCGTAGTCACTTACTCCAGAAAAACAAGCAACATTTTATTCAATTACTCAATTGATGGAACTACGTTGACTAGCACTGAAACATTCAAAGATCTGGGTGTTACATTCGACAGCAAATTTTCTTTTAAGAACCACATTGTTGATTGTGTAAGTCTTATAAAATGTTTGGATTTATTTACAGGAACTGCCGTGAGTTTTCTAATTCTGATGCTTTGCTAAATCTTTATCATTCCTTAATACGTTCTAAATTGGAATATGCAGCGGTAATTTGCTACCCTATTTACACAACATATAAATACAAGAATAAAAGTAAGAATAGAAGAGTAAAAACGTAAGAGTCAATAAGAATGAATAATCAAAACGGAATAGAGGTTACCACTGTTGACTTTGTTTTAATTTTTAAATTCCACCGCTTTTTAAAATAAAATACAATTCCCATTTTACAATAAATAAAATAACTCAGTTCAATGGTGACAGGGGGTGGGTGAGGCTAAGTTTATCTTTTTTCTACAGAGTCTTATAAGCAAGCAGTACCCCCGTCAACCCACCCCCTCTTCATGCTGGTAACTGCTCTTAATGTTGTTCAGTCTTAACTTAACAATTATTAATCCCGTCCACTCGCCCTCTATTTTCCTGGAGGGTATATCATTTGCCAAAATCAATCTTATCTTAGCAAGTACTAGCCCCGCCCACCCACCCTCTATTTTCTTAAAGGATATATCAGTTGCAAAAATCAGTCTTATTTTAGCATGTCTTGATTAAGCAAATTGGCGTAATATACTTTTTTTTTGTAAGAAACTAACACCAACGTCTATATAAAAAGTCTTATACATACAGTGGAAGTCAAAATAAAGTAGGAAACGTTTCTTTCTCCAGTGTTACTTTCAAATTTGTATTAACGTTTAAATGTCCTTTTCAGTAAATATCTTATTCAACTGAGTTCAGTTTACGCAACTAAATTTCTTGAAAAAATCCTTTCAAGAGCTGTCCTACTTTATTTTGGCCGCCACTGTATATGTTGTGTGCGACAATAGGCTACTGCATGAATTTCAATTTTGCTACAGACAGAGGTAATAAGCCGTTGTAATTAATGTTCTTTGTAACATTCTTAGCAATTTTTTTACAAATATTAGTTCCTCAAAATTGTTCCAACTTTTGTACACTGTTCCTCAAATTATTTTTCTACGGGATGTAGTCCTGTGTCGTCGATTGTGTTGCTTATACATCTCAGTATCACAGAGACTGGTATTTCGAAAGATCTTGGCTTTTCAAATTTATTTATTCTGCCACTTATTTTTTTATTGTTGGTATCATCTTTCTAGTCGTTTTCATTCTCATCGCTTTCTCTCAGTACAAACGATTTGATATTCAAAAGCTGCAGATTTACTTATTATTACAGAATATAGATTAACTATTTTTTTCTAACATTGTTTACGTAACAACAAAAGGAAACGCCAAAATTAATTCATTCTTCTAATTCTTTAAACTCTACAAAATGAATCATCTTAGATAAAAATACCGGGTGACTATTAAAGATTGAAAAAAATGTTTGTGTTGGCAATTCTGAATTATTGGCATCCGTGCTACGTGCACCACGTCACTTCTCAGTTGTCAGTGTTGACATGAGCACGCCTAACAAGCGTATTGATTGGTTGAAACGATGGCAACAACTGTCATTAACGTCACTTTGACAATCAGGTATCCCATCATAAAGTTTTAAATAAATCACAAACATTAATAGTCACTCAGTACTTATCTTTGTTGTATATGTAGCTCCAAAATTTACCCAGTCTTTTGCGCTTGTCGTCAAAAATTAAGTGAGATACGCGCACAGTTGGCTGATTTTAAATTATTTAAAACATGTGAAATTTATTATTCATCTTCGACTACTGAACTATTATTTAGCTTCTAGGTACTTAGTCATTCAGTCTCCAAATTGCCTCATCCAGCTATCCGTCGATTACTGCAACCGGTACAACTTCCTAATTTTCCTAATTTAGGCAAAAGTAGGTATAACGTACAAAGTACACAGCTTGGCAGTTCTACATAAAACGCTTCTCAGCTCATTTTTTCAATTCCCACAGTTTTGAACTTTGTCAAATGCTATTCTTTTAAACTGAATCATATGTAGTGTTTTTACACATTTAAAGAATACTCCTGAATTTTGGGAAACAAAGTCTTACATTTTTTATTTATTTTTGAGTTTAACAGTGTAATTTAGTAAATAAAAAAAGTATGACGTGACAAAAAAAAATAAGAAAACTAAGTGACCTGTTCAAGTATTGAATATGTTTAACAAGTAGTTTACATGCTGCATTTATTTATTTGTTTTAATTTGACTTAAAACGATAGTATTGTAAGACAGTAATACGACTTTCAGAAATTATGTAATTGTGCGTGTTTACAGATAACAATATTCTTATTTAATTATATTCGTATTAAGGTGACTTGTATACTTAATTGCACTGATATTCATACTAAGTAACTAGTCTAATATGTGTAACTTTTTTTTTTAAATAATGCATAGAAAATAGAAAGTGACTATGAAAACTAGGCATAATAATCAGAGTTAAAAAGTTACACATATTAGACTACTATACTAACTTTACTCAATTATAAAGTCCTGTAGTTTGGATAAAATAATGAACGCTAAACTTTGAAGTTTTTTTCAAAAATATTTTTTTTGTCGCATAATAAACTTTCTTGATTTTTTTACGTTTAATTATAACAAAAAATTGGTCTAAATTTTTTACGTCGAATTTCCCTCGCTCTTTAAGGACAACCCATGAAACAAGTCCCGTTTCTTATGCAAATTACAAAATTTAATTCTGCAAATTTTAATTTTTAAGATAATTCCTATACCTATATGTGAAATAAAAATAGGGATGGATTATTAAATTATAGGTAAAATAGCATGCTATGCTGAATGTTACAAGCAAGGGTAAAATTTTCTTAGCAAATTTTATGGTGACATAATCAAATTTTTAGTGGGGATGATTCGCCATTTTTTAACATTTATACGATATTTTTAAACAATTTCTAAAATTTTACAACAATCAGTCCAGTAGCTTCAGAGATCATATATCTATTAAAATCGCCAACACACGACAGATGACAGACAGATCAAAATGGAAGTACTTACTATTTTTTATATTTTGGAATCTATGAAACGTTGAGAAAACGTTAGATTGGCCATTCGTTTTAAACAGACTATTGAGCAACGTAGTTAGGAAAGTATTGTAATAGCCTAATTATTTTATTTTTTATTTTTTTTCTATAGAAGTTAATTAAAGGGAATGTTCCTCGCTTCTGAAACATAATAGGTATGCATATAGGATACCACCATATTAATTTTAAAATGTGTTAATATTATTCGGCTCTTAGAATTTTAGAGAAAGTAAGAGGCGTGTCTCTGAAATAAAAGACGAACTGATACAGATACCAAGAATCGAAGTCGCGGCTTTTTATATACACAGTGAACGCTTTACCTTGGAGGTACATCCTGTACATTTAATTAAGATGATATTTTGGGATTTACAGAGCGATTCTGCCTGTAGATCAACAAAATATGTAATGAAACCATAATAAAAAATAATTTCTAAAACAAATTGTAAAATTTCGTTATACATATACACACTTATTTGAGTTTGTTCATGTAATTTTTGATCGGTCAGCATATTCATATTTTAAAAGTTGTGAAACGTAAAATTGTTCGTCAAAATATATTGTACTGAAACGGTCGTCGAGTTTCGCCAATTACACGACTTCGTTCACACCACGGAAACTAGAATGAGGATGTCCTCGTCGCTAAAATTCGACACAAAAATCAAAAAAGTTTTGTAACTGAAACTAGAACACGAATTAACGATTTACTAAAAACGGAAACACCTACATATTTTTTTTAATCTATAACAACATTAATTAAATAAAATATGTCTGCCATACTTTAGGTAGTATTGTGAATACGCAGACCAACTCGGTAATCTAATAAATTTCCCCTTTCAGTACCTACTTATTGGGAAGTTCTGAAAATGTAAATAATTATTTTCTGAGTAATAAACCTCATATTTAATGGTTGTTAGATTTTTCTATTATTTAATAGGCACCAAAATGTTACATTTTCCAAAACAAGAACGCAGGAAAATACATATTTTAGATTTATCTTTTAGTTAATACTATGTTA